ACATTTAAGGTAGGTTAGGCTAAGTTATAATGTGTGATAGGTTCGATGTATTACATGCATTTTGATGTACACTATTTTCAATTTACAAAGGGTTTATTGGGATGTAACCCTATCATTAGGAGCATCTGCGATATGGTTTGGTTCTGTGTTCCCACCCAGATCTCATCTTGAATTGTAATCTCCACATGTCGAGGGATGAATCTGGTGAGAGATGACTGGATCACGGGGGTGGTTCTCCCCCTGCTATTCTTCTTGTGAGTTCTCACAAGATCTGATGGTTTGAAAGTGTTTGGCAACTCCCCCCTCATTCTCTCTCTCTTTCTCTCTCCTGCTGCCATGCAAGATGTGCCTTGCTTCCCCGTTGCCTTCTGCTGTGATTGTAAGTTTCCTGAGGCCTCCCCAGCCATGCTGAACTGTGAGTCAATGAATTCTCTTTCCTTTATAAATAACCCAGTCTCAGGTAGTATCTTTATAGCAGTGTGAAAACAGACTAATACAAACTGTATTTGCCTTCACCTTCAATAAACAGAGGTATTGCTGTATATTAGGAAAAGGCAGAAAATCAAAACTAATTTATGTATAACAACTCAGGAGGAGCAGGAATAGGTTAAGAATAGGTCAGGAAAACATGGAACATTCAGGCTTACTTACAAGCAGAGAAAAAGTGTGATGTAATTTGCCTTAGGTTGCCATTTTGTCTATGAACTTTCCCTGATCATACTAACCCCAAAGCACTGTCTCTCTTATACACCAAGTTGTCAGCACAACTTGGGACCCCTGGAAATTGTATTAGGCTGTTGGTAACAGAAAACCTGACTATAGCAATATAGCAAAAATGTGAACTGGCTGTTCAAAAGCTGCTCAAACCCCCCTTCCTTTGCCTTTCTATTTTATAAAGGCTGAAATGAGAAAACATTCACCTTTTCAGATTCACTTGCAACTAGGTAGTGGTGGCCAAATGTCAGAGTTCTGGCCAATGAGATGTAGCAGATCTCTGGAGAGGTCTTCCTTTACTCTTCCCCAAAAGTTATGCCTTCAGACTGGGAGAACAAAATCCACATACTGAGGCTAGCAAGTCAGGAAGGCAAAAGAACTTGAGACATTAATAGTGTGTTGGCACTGCTACACTGGCCATAAACTGATTATCTCAATTTCCTGTCACACCAGGATCCCTACCTCCATTAAACCATGGCATCAGTTAAGAATTGTGTTCACCCATAAGTAACAGAATGCCTTACTTCTATAGGTTAAAAAAAAATGAGAAGTTTTATTGTTTCTTTCAACAAGAAGTCAGGGAATAGGAAGGTAAGGCCTGGTAGAGTGGCTTGATCATGTTGTCAGTGACCCTTGCCCTCTGTATCTTCTTAACTTTCCCTTCTTAATGCGCTGGTGTCCTCCTTATGGTCACAGGATGGCTGCTGTACCTCCAGGTATCAGGTCTGCGTTTCAGGCAAAAAGAAATATTATCTAAAGGGTTCAAACTGTGTCATATGGCCTCTCCTGGCTGCATGGCGGGTGGGGAAAAAAAAATCAAGTAATTGGCTTTTCAATGTCTACAGTAGAAAAAACAATGTAGGTTGGTCACTCCACTCAACATCCATTCCCAATCACCTTCTCCCTTGCCTTCCTCTACTGTGTCACTAGTACTTTTTGATTTTTTAAACACTGCCTTGTGAAGGAATTACTGCCTCACCAATTAGACTAGAAACCTTGTGGATCCCTGACAGTGCCCAGAACTATGGACACTAAAATGTTTTGAAATAATGAGCAGTAACTGCCTGGGGTTCTTATTTTCTGAAGTTTCGCAGTCACCTTTGCCAATATATCGTTCTGTAACTAATAAAACAAGGCAAAGCAGGACCCGGTAAATGGCAAGAAAAGCAGTGGCTGAATGTCACAGTAGTAGGATAATGGATTCCATTTTTAAATTTGAAATTTTATTTTGATGTAGAGACTCTCAGATGCTGTGCTACAGAATTCAGACCAGTTCTCCCACTGAGCACAACTTACAAAGCTGAATGAAATATAAAAACATCTTCTTGAAAGCATCAAAGACCTAATAAGAGAGTAATGAATTACTGGGGTCAAAATCTGAGAGTGATTCAGAATCTAGAGGGGTTGGTTTAGCTCTTGGGGCCACTTTTTCTTCTCGGGGCATTTCTTAATCTTGAGGAGGTGGCTGAGAGACTGAGCTATGCCTTTAGTATTCTGTGGGGTTAGGGGCAAAAGTCAGAATCCAAGGACCATCAAGGGTTGGTTGGGACTTGATAAGCCCTGTGTTTTGACTTGAGATCCAGAAGGACTGTTCCATGTGAGTAAGGCTGAACCAGAAATAAAGCAGCCTTCACACAGACCACAGTTATCTTGGTCATCCTGGAAAATCTCAAATGCTGAATTTGGATTAAGGTAATCCTGGAGCACTAGGCTCCCCTAGACACCTGGCAAAAGAAGTTGAAAATCCCCCCTAGAGAAAGATAACATCATTTTAGGCCTCAAATGCCTGTAAGAAAATTTTTCAAAACAAGGTTGGCACAGTAAAAATCTAGTAGATGGATAAGAAGCGGGGACTTCATAAACAAGAACCAGCAGAAACAAAAGATCAGATCGGTCCCAAAGGGACTCAAAATTCTTGAATTCTTAAATTTTCCTTCGATATTATCTCATTGTTTTCATGTCATGAAATTTTATACAGTATAATTACAACAATGAAAAGAAATGAGCTATATAAAATGAAAAGCAAAAAAAAAAAAAAAAAAAAAAAAAACAGCTAGAAAGAAATATACCAGGATTGTGTTGGTGGTATCTGACAGCAGCAAACTGTGGTGTTTATCTTTTTCATTTTTATATTTTCCAAATTATTTTATATTTTGGAGACAGGATCTCACTTTGTCACCCAAGCTGGGGTGCAGTGGCATGATCACAGCTCACTGTGCCTCGACCTCTTGGGCTCAAGCAATCCTCCGGCCTCAGCCTCCCGAGTAGCTGAGACTACAGGTGTGCACCACCACGCCTGGCTAATTTTATTTTAATTTTTGTAGAGACAGGGTCTTAATTATGTTGCCCAAGCTGATCGTGAACTCCTGACCTCAAGGAATCCACCCGCCTCAGCCTCCCAAAGTGCTGAGATTACAGGTGTGAGCCACGGTGAATGGCCTCCAATTTTTCTTTAATGACAATTTATACTAGAAGAAATACTTATGTAAAAGAGAAAGCAACATAGGGTATAACCCAAGAGCAGGGCTAGATTTGTAGGCATTCAACTTCTACAGCTGTCTAGGGTCTTGTGCTCAGAAGGGCCTCATGCTTGGCTTAATGCTCTGCTGTTGCTGTCTTGAAATTCTTATTTTTTAAACAAGAAGCTTGATATAGTTTGGGTATTTGTCCCTGCCCAAATCTCATGTTGAAATGTAATCTCCAGTGTTGGAGGTGGGGTCTGGGGGGAGGTGTCTGGGTCATGGGGGTGGATCCCTCATGGCTTCCTGCTGTCCTTGCAATAAAGAGAGTGTTCTTGCAAGATCTGGTTATTTAGATGTGTGTGGCACTTCCCCACAACCCTCTCTTGCTCTTGCTTTTGCCATGTGACATACCTGCTCCTGCTTCACCTTCCACCATGAATATAAGCACCCCTGAGGCCTTCTCCAAAGCCGAGCAGATATTGGTGCCATGCAGAACCGTGAGCGAGTTCAACTTGTTTTCTTTATAAAGTACTCGGCCTCTGCTTTTTTTTTTTTTTAAGACAGGGTCTGGCTCTGTTGCCTAGGCTGGAGTGTAGTGGCATGAACACAGCTCACTGCACCCTTGACCTCCTGGGCTCAAGCAATACTCTCACTTCAGCCCTGCAAGAAGCTGGGACTACAGGTGCATGCCACCACACCTGGCTAATTTTTATATTTTTTGTAGAGATGGGGTTTCTGCCATGTTGCCCAGGCTGGTCTCAAATACATAAGCTCAGGTGATCTGCCCATCTTGCCCTCCCCAAGTACTGGGATTACAGGCGTGAGCCACCATGCCTGGCCAGGTATTTCTTCCAGCAATGCGAGAACGGCCTAATACAAAGTCCCACATTTTCATTTGCACTTGGCCCTCCAAAGTATGTAGCCAGTCCTGACCCAGAGGCAATAAAATGTTGATCAATTCATTGCTCTGGTCAACAGTCTCTGGATTTGCTCTAGTTTCTCCACTTCTCACTGAAAGGCATCTAGTTTCCAAACTGGAGGGATCTATGAGGCCAGGCACTATGGTGCACACCTATAATCCCAGCGCTTTGGGAGGCCAAGGCTGGAGGATTGTTTGAGGTCAGGAGTTTGGGACCAGCCTGGCCATATATTGAGACCTATGTCTGCAAACAAAACAAAACAAAAATTATCCGGGTTTGGTGGTGCATGCCTGTAGTCCTAGCCAGGAGTTTGAGGCTGCAGTGAGCTATGATAGCACCACTGCACTCCATCCTGGGCAACACAGCAAGACTCTGTCTTCAAAAAAATAAAATAAAATAAATTGAAGGGTGGGGCATGGTGGCTCACGCCTGTAATACCAGCACTTTGGGAGGCCAAGGTGGGTAGATCACGAGGTCAAGAGATCGAGACCATCCTGGCCAACATGGTGAAACCCTGTCTTTACTAAAAATACAAAGATTAGCTGGGCGTGGTGGTGCCTGTAGTCCCAGCTACTCGGGAGGCCGAGGCAGGAGAATCGCTTGAACCCGGGAGGCAGAGGTTGCAGTGAGCTGAGATCACGCCACTGCACTCCAACCTGGCGACAAAGTGAAACTCCATCCCTTAAATAAATAAATAAATAAATAAATAAATAAATTGAAGATGTGGCCAAACAGCTGCAGGAATGTTGGGGCACAGTAGAAAGAACCCAGGATTAGCAGTCTGTAGACAGGATTCCAGTTCTGTCACTAGAAAGCTGTATCTCTAGCTTGCTGGAATTCATCCCTTCCAGCTCTCAAGGCATCGGAATCACAGCTGTGAACAGGAAAGCTAGCACACCAGAGTCAGAATCAAGCAATAGTTATTTATCTAGTTCCCACCCTGTGCAAGGTACCGGGTGCTCTAAGATTCACTCCAATCCATGAGGTGCGTCTAGTCTTTCACCGAGATTTGCCAGTGGTCTTTCAGGGTATTTCTCCTTGCTTTCTGGATCTGATGACTTATCTGAAACTGAAGTTCTATCTGGAATGACTGGACCTCTGTCACTGCAGTGTCAGAAATCTCTTGCAAAGTAAGCATGGTGAAATTCCAAGGTGCTGGGCCACTAGGGGAAAGGGTGCAATTAATAATCCCTACCACTTATTGGATGTATACCAAGTGCCAGGCTGTGTGCTAGGTTTTTTGCTTGTGTTCCCTTTTAATCCTTTGAAATGGCTTGACTCTACTCTTATTTATGTTTTTCTGATAAGGAAACTAAGGATTAAAGAGGTTAGGTAACGAGGAGCTGGAAAACGGTCTACTTCCCAAAGCATCCTCTTGACAATTCCACTAGACTACCACCAATACCACCGAGCCCTCGTTGCTTCCTCTTCAGCTCAGAATAGTCCACCAAGTCCACGTTTCCCTAATCCCAAGGTCGGATGGCTGGGAAGGGTAGAGAATGCAACGGAAGGACGCTAATGGAGAATTTTGCAGGGTCTGGGAGCAGAGCAGTAAACGCAGCCCTAAGCACTGAGTATGCTACAGTTTGGTAAAATCTACCCAAGCAGCTTTAGGATCCAAGGCTTGTACTGTATCCCCAACCAACACTAGGCAACGCCCCAAGTCCTCACACTTCCCACTCCGATAGGCGAAACTGCAAGAACCGGGAGGGGCGGCTGCCGCGTTTAGGCGCGAGGCACACACCATACCCTTCCGCAGCTTCCCACCTCCTCCAGACGCACGTGTTTAAAGAGTCCCTGCTCCAACCGGTCCCGCCCCACCTCCGCTCGGCCTCCAGCCCTGCCAGTACTGCTGGCTTCAAGTTTCCTCCGAGAGGCGGGCGCGCACAGCTGCAGTTGCGGCGGCAGCGGCCACCAAGCGTCCGGCCGCGCTTCGCCACCCACCTTTCCTTAGCTCCCGGCACTGCAGTCTCCGCCCGCCGAGGAGGGCGCGCTCAGTGGAGCAGGAGTCCAGGGTGGGGCGCCGAGAGGAGGGAATCCCGGGTCACACCGCTACAGTTCTCGCAGTGGCAGAGGCGGCGGCGGCGGCGGCGGCGGCAGCAGCAGCAGCAGTAGCAGCAGGTGGAGTGAGCTACAGCGCTTGGCCTGAAACCCGCCGCTACAGCCACCCGGGCGGGAGCTGGCCCGCTGAGTGGAGCCATTGCTCACCCCGGCCCGACCCCCGGTTTCCGGGACACTTGGGTTGCCGAGGCCGGCTGGCCAGAGTCGCGGTTGGGGACTGGCGCGCCCGGGAGCGCACGGCTGAGCAAGAAGCCGCGTCTGGGGCGCAGGACCAATTGAATCTACCTCTTCCCGGCTAGCTAAGGACCCCTTCTCTCGGGAAAGAGCGCTGCCGGCTGTGGGATTTGGGAGGAGCTCGGAGGCCGCCCGGGCACCTCGCTGGACACTATCCGTTTGCGCCCCCGTGGCGCTGGAGGGTCCGGAGAGGAGCGCTCGTCTCTCTTCTGCGGTTTAGTGGCTGAAAGCAGAGAGCTCTTCCTGGGGCGGACGGGACCTCCTCCCTCGGTCGTCCGTGGAGTCCTTGCATCGCTTGTCGTGTTGGTCTCGAGCGGCTCACAGCTTGACACTAATTTGCAGGTGTTCGCTGCTGATTTGGTTTCGTCTTCGATTTGGGGACAGTTCCCGCCAACGACACTCGACACACGTTTCCCTGTCTTCGTCGGAGGGCCGGGTCTGGGGTCGCCGGAGCCTGCGGGAATCCAGCGCCTATTCGCTGACCCTCGAGTCGCTCCGCTAGCTGTGCGCCCTCCTGGGCATTAGCCTGGAGAGGAGCGTGCAGACGCGGCCCCTTTGAGGCAGTGCGGTCCTCGAGGGAGGCATCGGGCTCCTAGGGGCTTCTTGGCGTGTGCGGTGGGATTGGGGTCAGCCGGCCATGGCCTTCACTTTCGCTGCGTTCTGCTACATGCTGTCTCTGGTGCTGTGCGCTGCGCTCATCTTCTTCGCCATCTGGCACGTGAGTAACCCGCTTTGGTCTCTCTTCTTTCGCCCCAATTTCGCTAAATTTCCCCTATTTCACCCCACTTTTTCCACCTTGCGGGCGTGGGCGGACCGGGAGGGTGGACCTTCTGCCGCTCCTCTGTCCCGGGGCAGGAGGCAGTTCGCTACATCCCGCCGGGCGCGCCTTCGGTGCCCTCGCTGGAGTCGGGGGGCCGCTGGTGCCCGGGTGGGACACCCTCTGCAGGGCCCGACCGGGCGTCCCGGGTCCCGGTCCCCGGGGAGTGGCGGCTACAACCACATCTAACTCCTTCCTCTCCCGCTCCCTCCTCTACGCGGCAGGAGGCTAAGGAGAAGCGCCGCCGTCGGTCCCAGCAATTAGTCAAGTAGCTATAATAACTAAATATTTAAAATGTCAGCATCTGTGGTGGGTTGCATTTAGACATAATTGGAGACAAAGTGGAAACACGACGGGAGCGCCTTGTAAGAGGTGAGGTAGGGAGAGGCCGAGCCCGCGGAGAGAAGGGAGACTGGGCGATGGGGGTCGAAGTGGAAGGCGGTGGGGGAAAGGCGAGGAAAAGAGCAAGGAGACGAGGGAGACTGGGGAAGGGTAGGCATCATTAAGGCCGTGGAGGAAAGTCACAAAGAGAGACCGTGGAGAGCGACGACGGTGTCCTCCTCTGCCCTCTTGGCGTCTGAACGTCCGACTCCTGAAGACCCCCTGCAGGTGGCGAACCTCCGCTAGGCCCCCAGAGTCCCCAGACCGCACAAGCTTCATGTCACCCTTCCCGGGGCTATGCCAGGTGGAGGGCAGCCTTGGATCCCAGTTCTTTAGGTGTGGGTGGGAATAGAGGAGCGAAAGCTTCTGAATAGGGGAAGAGAAGTACTGAGAACGCAAGAGTGCATACGCTGGTCCTCTCAAAGACGGTGCAACATTTAGCGAGTGCATGCAACTCTCAAGGCTTTCTTCACTGAAGTTGTTTAAGCCCCTTATCCTCACCCTCAGAGGGCTGGTGGGAAGAATGGCCAAGGCCAAATGTTTAGAAGGAGTATCCCAGTGCATAATTTCCCACCTTTAACAGCCTTGCCCTGCCCAGAGTCTAGGTGACAGGGAAGAACCCTGAGACGAATTCCTGGAGGCATGGTTCTGGTGAGCATCAGAGACTCTCATACAGTGGGGATGCCCCAAAATGAAGACGTGAAGAAAACTGCAGGGTGCATGAGATACCCATGTTTTGTGTAAGTGGTTTGCGGAGTGAGAGTTTGTCTTAGAATAGAACTAAGCAGCTAGAGCAGCTCCTGCTACAGGGCTCTGACAGAGAGGAGAGGGGAAACTCGGGGAGGAAGGCGGCTTCCGACCGTGTAACCTTAGGAAAGACCCTTGCTGGCTTCCTTCCACATCTCTAAAGTGAGAAAATTGACCTGGATGATCGCTAAGCTTTCCTCCATTTTTCAGATTGTGTAAATCCGTGCATCAGTAGACTTAGGAATCGGGAGGTGACAGGGAATTCAAACATAGATATTTGGGGGATGATTAAAAAAATTCTGCTGTTTATAAGTATTGGGATTTTAAACCCTCCCTCCTCTGCTCTGCCAGGCTGGGTCTAATCTGTGGTAGAAAATTGAGACTTGAAGTTGCTGACAGTTCTTAAGGGAAAAGGAAACTTACCTGATTGAGAATAGAAAGGAGTACAGATTAGACCATGCCCAAGCAGTGCAGCAAACCTCTGCTAAAGTGCTTTAAAGGAACTTCCTCAGCTTCTTTGGATTTGGGGAGTTACTTGCATTCTAGAAGGCCAACTACTCCCTTTTTTTCTGCAATACTTCATTTGCTGTTTTCTGTTTTTGCCTTGGCCAGAGGGTGTCAGGTACCAGAGAGCTCCCTCAAACTCAGTCTGGCTTGGAGTTCTCTGAACTGGTCCCTGAAGCAGAGCAAGTAACCAGAAAGAATAATTTCCTCTTGTTCAGGGGAAGATGATTAATAATTCAAGAACAGCTTAACTGAGTGGTTTGTGCAGCTAGTTGACATTTGAATGAAAATCAGGTGTTCCCTCATCCAGCATTGGCCTCTGCCCTCCAGTTTCTCAACGCTCACCCCCTTGTCTAGGGGTGGTTGAAATGCAGTCAAATCCCAACTCAGGTTTTATCCAGATTCCTCATGGAAGTGGCTAGATTCTTGTTTCTAATGATGAAAAGAATTTGTGCATTTTGATTTCACATTACAGTAATAATTTCATAGTCTCAGTCCCTCCTTTCCTATCTTTTCCTTCTCTATCTCTTTCCCTCTCTCCACATCAAACAACCCAAACCCCATCACACTGATTTGGTTCCTGAACTGGGAAACCAGAGACACCCTGATTTCTGGGCACGGTTTGTATGTCTGGGTGTTAGTTACATGGTAGTAATTATTTCGACCAAAATTGAGGAGCCTTGGTTTTACGTTAGACTGTTTGCCTTCTTTCCAGCTTCTTACGTTCCTTATGTACTTCTCGATCGGACAAGGCATATTGATTGTGTGGTATGTATCAATACCCCCCAAAATGAATAGGGCACTTCACAACATATAGCAGTGAAAATGCCTGCCACGCTGCCGTGTCTAGGCTGAAGATACGAAGATGGCATGCTTTTCTCATTGAATTGTACTTACCTACTTAGGGGTAAGGATGGTAGCTACTATGTGTTGGGTGTCTGCTGTAGGACAAATTTTAGGTACTTTACAGAGGATCTCTCTGTCCAGTCGTTTTCCTCCCCTTTCTTCCCACCAGCTGTCTGGGAGCAAGGATGGATGTGGCCAGCCTTTCTTTCAAGTCTTGTTTTTTACTTAGAAAATTTATCTGCATTTGTTTTCTGTTGAAAATATTTCAAATTACCCATTTATTTTATATCAACTACTATTTCTGAGTACATTTATCACATTTGGAAGAAGCAGAAGAAAACTGAGTTTTTTCTGTGGCTTTGCATACCCTCAGGCACCTGGCCTCTTACTGCTGAGGCAGCCCTTTAGTCCTCATAACTGACATTTCCCAGATGAGGAAACTGGATCAGAGAGGTCACAAGGTTGCCTAAGGTTGCACAGCTGGTATGTATTGGAGCTGGTATTCATGGACTTGAGCTAGGTCTGTGAGACTCTTAAGCCTAAGCCCTTTCTCTAACTGTAGTCACTATTTTTGGATTCATAACTTAGATAATAATTTATATTCAAAAGATTACCTTTCTCTATATAAATGAAATTTTAGAGTTGGAATTTCTGATTGTAGTTTTAACAGCAACAGCAACCAGACTCAAGACATACTATATATCCTTTTTTAAAAGAGGAAAATTCTGTTTATTTAGATTTTCGCTTATAAAATGATACAGGTTCCTTGTCCAAAATTTTGAAAATACAATGATACGTAATTAAATAAAATAATCACTAATCTTATCTAGAAAAGATTATCTCTTGTGTATTTAAAAAAATTGCATATGGCTGGGCTCAGTGGCTCATGCTTGTAATCCCAGCACTTTGGGAGGTTGAGGCAAGAGGATCACTTGAGCCCAGGAGTTTGAGAGCAGCCTAGGCAACATAGTGAGACCCCGTTTCTAAGAAAAAAAATTGCATGTGGATGTTTAGAAGGAAAAAAAGTGTTCTAAAGGGTTTTTGATGTGAAGCGATGTGTATTTGCAGCCAGTATAAATGAATGGTGTTTACTCACAAGAGCCTTCTCAGCTCTGGCTTGGTTAAGCCTGTTTGCAGCATGTCTCATTTATATAAACACAGATGAAGCTATTCTTTGAAAAAAATCAAAGATTCACTACTGGATTTCAGGTTTTTAGCTTTTGAAGTCTTTATATTTGGAGTCACTGTGAGTTTTGACAATATACAAATAAAATTAATTCCCAATAAAATTCCCTAGAAAGATCCGATGTACCATCTCACGTTGAAATTTGTTTGGATTCACAGCAGCATTTGCTGTGTGAGGGTTTAAATGGCCCCGGACAGGGATGACATACATATGTACTGAGAGGCAGTGTTTCTAGGGAAGATGTCTTCATGGTGGAGCCTTTTGCAGTTCTACCCTGTCACAGACTCAGCCTCTGGAAATCTAGTAAACATCTCAGTTTCTCAGAGTACCCATCGGGAAACAAAAAATGGGTTTATGTGAAATGGTAGGATGCTTGGGGTTGATAATAAATAGCCTGTATTTTTATGACCCTGCCTTGGCCTACTTAGATGAGGGTACTGCACTCATTGCCAGGTCTTACATGGTCTCCACTTTTTGTTCTACTTGTGATGCCCCTGTCCTTTCTGGCATCTCACTTTTAGGTGGGATGTCCACAGCTCCAGCCTGCTCCATCCCCCTCTTATCTCCTCCCTCCATCACTGCCCATTGCCCCACAGCCACAGTGGAAGGAAGCTCCATGAGAGCAGGGACGTTTTCTACTTTACCATTGTTTCTCCAGAGCCCAGAACAGTGCCTGACACACAGTGTTTGGTATAAATACTCGTAGGACAAATTCTTGTTTCCTTCTGGCTTGACTCATTTCCAGTTGATATAGTGATGTTTTGGCTGTGTTCACACCCAAATCTCATCTTGAATTGTAGCTCTCATAATTGCCACATGTTGTGGGAAGGATCTGGTGGAAGGTAATTGAATCATGGGGGACGGGTTTTTTCTTTTTTTTTTTTTTTTTTGAGACGGAGTCTCGCTTTGTTACCCGGGCTGGAGTGCAGTGGCCAGATCTCAGCTCACTGCAAGCTCCGCCTCCCGGGTTCACGCCATTCTCCTGCCTCAGCCTCCCGAGTAGCTGGGACTACAGGCGCCCACCACCTCGCCCGGCTAGTTTTTGTATTTTTTAGTAGAGACGGGGTTTCACCATGTTAGCCAGGATGGTCTCGATCTCCTGACCTCATGATCCGCCCGTCTCGGCCTCCCAAAGTGCTGGGATTACAGGCTTGAGCCACCGTGCCCGGCCGGGACGGGTTTTTTCTATGCTGTTTTCATGATAGTGAATAAGTCTCATGAGATCTAATGGTTTTAT